AGAAAATTACATATCTAGATTTTTCAATTTATTTGCATAAAGTTCTACAAAATGGTCTCTTATTGGTATATAACTTTTTCTGTTTCAATGATTATTTCCTCCTTGTCATTTATTTTGTATATTTATGCATTCTCCCTTTTTTCTTGGTTAAATTAAGTAGTTGGTTCATCTATTTTGTTATTTTTGAAAACAGGATTTTGATTTATTAATTATATTTATCGATTTTCAATTCTCATTCATATTAATTTCTTCTTTTACCTTTATTACTTTATTCTTTGTGATTTCTTTGGTTTACTTTGTTGTTCTTTTGCTAGTTTTCTGAACTTGAAATTTAATTCATTTACTTTTATTGATAAAAATGTTTAGCTAATAAATTTTTCTCTGATAAGTGCCTTAAATGCATCCCAAAGATTCTGACATGTAGTGTTTTCATTGTCATTATTTCTTGAATATTCTACAATATCAGTTTGTATTTCCCCTTTCACCCAGGATTTGTTTAATGTTTTAAAATTTCCAGATTAAGGAATTTTTGTTGTTGTTGTTGTCGTTAATAAATTTTAGTTTTATAGCATTTGATTACCATGTTTGTAAAATTCCACTTTACAGAAGTTACTGATATTTTCTTTGTCACCTAATAGGATCAGTTTTTCGGAATGCATTGTGGGCACAAGAAAAGAATGTATATTTCTATTATTAGAGTCTAGAGTACATTTATAGCCATTAGATCTACCCCATTCACTATGTTGTTTAGATGTTTTATCTCCTCAGTTATATTCTGTCTATTAGATCTGTCTTGTGCCATTAGAAAAATACAAATTAAAACCACATTGAGATATCACTGCACACTGATTAGAAGGGCTAAAATAAAAAATAGGATAATACAAAATGCTGACAAAGATGTAGGGAAACTGGAAGATACATTGCTGGTAGAAATTTTAAATGGTACAGTCACTCTGGAAAATAGTTTGGCAGTTTCTTGTAAAACTAAACATGTACTTATGATACAACCCAGCAACTGCACTCTTAGACATTTATGCCATTATGAAAATTTACATTCACACAAAAACCTGTATACAAATTTCACAGCTGCTTTATTCATAATAGCCCCCATAGGGAAACAATCCAAATGTTCTTCAGCAGCTGAATTATTAAACAAACTCTGGTAGATCCATACAATGGAATACTACTCAGCATTGAAAAGAAATAACTATTGATATACTCAACAACTTGCATGGATCTCAGGGCATTATGTTTACTGAAGAAAGTCAGTCTCAAAAGATTATATTTATATAACATGATTCCACGTATATAGCATTTATATGATTCCATTTATATAACATTTTCAAAATGACAAAACTTTTGAGATGGCGACCAAACTGGTGGTTACCAGAGAACAGATGGGGATTGGAGCAGGGAGGTTGACTATAAAGAGGTAGCATGAAGTTCCTTTGTGGCGATGGAACAGTTCTGTATTTTTATTGTGGTGGTATTAACACAAATTTATACATGGACTCAAACCGCCCAACTATACACACACACACACAGACACACACACAGACACACACACACACACGAATGCATGTAAAAACTGAATAAGGTCTGTAGTCTAGCTAACAGTATTATAGCCTGTCACTTTCCTGGTATTGATATTGTACTAAAACTATATAAGATGTCACCATTGGGGGAAGCTGGGTGAAGGGCTCATGGAACCTTATGTACTATTTTTGCAATACCCTGTGAGTCTATAATTATTTCAAAATTAAAAGGTTTTTTTAAATGTTAAAATAAATGAATATTATATTTATGCTAACATGATTCTGACATCAATTCCAATGTATTTTTTTTCCACACCACCGAGCAAATTAACTCAATTCCAATACTATCTACCTGGAGACAGCATCAGATCCCACAGGTTAAGGGCTCAGTTCTACAAGACTGTCCCCCACCCCCATTTCAGACGCCAATCACAAGTCCAGGTTGTCACCTGTGCTTCTGATAGTTCTGCTATACATATATATTTTTTTTTATAAGGAATATCAGCCCTGAGCTAACATCCATGCTAATCCTCCTCTTTTTGCTGAGGAAGACCAGCTCTGAGCTAACATCTATTGCCAATCCTCCTCCTTTTTTTTTTTTTTCCTCCCCAAAGCCCCAGCAGATAGTTGTATGTCATAGTTGCACATCCTTCTAGTTGCTGTATGTGGGACGTGGCCTCAGCATGGCCGGAGAAGCGGTGCATCCGTGCGTGCCCGGACCCAAACCCGGGCTGCCAGTAGCGGAGCGCGTGCACTTAACCGCTAAGCCACGGGGCCAGCCCTGATAGTTCCGCTACAGATCAGAGGTTCCCACAACCTTCTCCTTGGGTTCAATTAATTTGCTAGAGCAGCTCACAGAACTCAGAGAAACATTTACTTACATTTACTAGTTTAATATAAAGGATATTATAAAGGATATAAATGAACAGCCAGTTGGAAGAGGTACATAGGGCACAGTATGTGAGAAGGGACATGGCACTTCCATGCCCTCTCTGGGTGCACCACTGTCCCCACATCTCCACGTGTTCAACAACCTGGAAGCTCTCCAAACCCTGTCCTTTTTGGGGTTTTACGCAGGTTTCATTACATAGGCATGATTGCTTAAATCATTGGCCATTGGTGACTGAAAGTTCTAACCCTCCAATCACATGGTTGATTCCCCTGACAACTAGCCCCCATCCTTAGGTGCTTTCCAAAAGTCACCTCATTAACATTAACCCAGGTATGTTGAAAGGGGTTCATTATGAATATCAAGACACCTTTATCGTTCTTATCACTTAGGAAATTCCCAGGGTTTTAGGAGCTCTGTGCCAGAAATTGGAACAAAGACCAAATATATATTTCATATCATAAATGTCAACATCATAGTTAATAACTCTAAAATTTATGTCTGAATTTTAAGCCTTTCCTGAGTCCTGGACTTTGTTTCCAATCTCTATATGACGTCTCCACTTGGATGCCTCAAAGACATATAAAACTTAACATGCCTAAAACAGAACTCTTAATTTTCCCCATGAACTTGTTCCTTCTCAGTCTTTCCTAATGAAGGCTACCTAGTTACTGAAACCAGAAGTCCAGTAGTAGTAGATTGCTCCTCTTCCCTCATCCCCAAAACCAGACCATCAGAAAATCCTGTTAACTCTATTTACAACCATATCTCAAATCCATCCATTTCTCATTATCTCCACTGGCCTCTCATTATCTCTCAACTCAACTATTATAATAACTTCCTAACTCTCTGATTACACTCCATGACCAGGCCTTCATGACCAGAACCACAGTATTCTGTATCTTGGCCCTTTGTTAGTTTCCTTCCTAGCATTCATTATCATCTTCAAATTTTTTATTTACATATCTGTTTAGCTTTTTTCTTGTCTGTCTTCCACACAGAAATGTGAGCTCCGTGAAGGCAGGCACCAGGTGCACACTGCTCACAACTGGACCCCCAGTGCGCAGGGCCTCAAACAATGTCAACACTCAATCCATATAGACTGGGTAGATGAAGAACTCAACTTTCATTATTTTATGAGAACACGTCAGGGCTGATTTTCCACTAACTATCTTCCCTAGGATACAGGGAAATCTTGCCCTTTCCAAACACCATTCTTGTCACTCTAATTGTTGTTCTTCTCTTCTGTTTACTCTGCCTTTCTTAGAGAATTCTTATTATTCACAGGTTGGAATTCCATGCTGTATCTTCTTTATATGTCATATAACTTTCTTATTATTCTAATTAATCTCTTGTATAATCAGTATATTTTCAGATACTGATAACTTTTTTTTGGTGAGGAAGATTTGCTCCAAGCTAACATCTGTTGCCAATCTTCCTCCTTTTTTTTTTTTTCCTGCTTGAGGAAGATTAGCCCTGAGCTAACATCTAGGCCAATCTTCCTCCACTTTGTACGTGAGTCACCGCCACAGCATGGCTTGACAAGTGGTGCAGGGCCGCACCGGAGATCCAAACCCATGAACCTGGTCCACCAAAGTGGAGCGCACCAGACTTAACCACTATGCTGTGGGGCCAGCCTGATAACTATTTTTCTATTACACTATTTCAGTATACTATCAGATACATTTTGATAACTTATTACTTTTCCACTAATATTACTATATTGTTATTATATTATATGCAAGTTCAACACTTTATATATTCATTCTCTCATTTAATCTTCACAACCACCCTAAAAGTTATGTATGGATTTTTATTTCCATTTCACAGATGAGGAGACAGAGGTATAACGAGGTTAAATAACTTGCCTAAAGACACAGACTTTGGAAGTAGTAGGGCCAGGCTTCAAATCCTGGTCTATCTGATTCCAGAGACTATAACTACCAGTTTATACTGTCTCCCTTATTTTGTTTTCTTTTTGCATTTCCTGGAGAAAAAGATAGCTGCTGGTTTCTTCATTCAACAGCTTATTTTAAAGAAGAGAAAACGAATGTCAGAGAAGGAAGGTAGTTTTTCCTTGCAGTGGTAGAGAGGAGAACAAGGAGTCAAACCACAGCTGTCTGACTATAAGACTCATGCTTTTTCATTACCTCAAGGATTCTTAAACAGAGGCTCAGAAATTCCACAGAACTTTGGAGGTCCATGGAACCATGCGGAATTATAAGCAAAATTTTGTATCTATCTACTAAGTCCATTTTTTTTGAGAAATGGCCTAGAGCTTCTCAAAGAGGTCTATGACTCCCTAAAAGGTTAAGAACTACCACTATACTGACTCTCTAAGAAAAATAAGAAAATGAAACATGAACCCCAATATTTCTTAAAATAAGTATGATTTACAATATACACATTCATTTTTATAAATTCTATTTTCATTCTTACTGAAGAAAATAAACCAATACTCTCCAGCTAACCTGTTTAGAAAACATTTTGTAAAATTACCATTTTAACTCTACTTTTTCCTAATATGTGTATGTACTTAAATACTAAGAAATTATTATATTCAAAATGTGTCTTACATTCTTCAGGCTGGACAGATGAATAACTCCCAAGATTTAATAACTGACTGGTCATTGTTGATTGTAGTACTGTCTCACCAGCCCAATGATCCTCATGAACAGTAACATCTAGAAAGGGGAAAAAAAGCTCTGATCATGTCACAAATTCTTTCACCCTGCAGTTAACCTACCAATCATAGCAAAATATTAGGCACGACTCTCACATGCCAGCTAACTAAAGTTCAAATAGGTTAAATGATCTGCCTAAAGGCACAAAATGATAAAATAGCAAATCTGAAATCTGAACCTAGGTATGTCTGTATGCAGGTAAAATAACAAAATTGCTTCTGTATATTCAAACAATATCAGTATGGAAGCTCACTGCTCCACAGAGAACAGTTTAATGGCTTTTGTTTTCATAAGGCAGATGTTATAATGTATATTTCTGCTAAATTAAAAGTAAATCTTGTAAGGTCAGGAAGCAAAATAGTAGTTCTAAAGCAGTAGTTCCTAGAAGAGTAAATAACATTCAATATGAACTTACCCCTTCTGCTATAAACATATATGAATATAATATAAGGCATTTTTAAAGGACTTTGGTAATTTTTCCCTAAATAACATGCTAATCATCTTTTATAGATGTTAAAAGTGAAAGATTTTGGAGGTAAGGAACATTTTCCTATGGGAAAAAGAGAGCTGTACAATCTAAGATGAATAGAAAAGAATCATTTAGTGGAACTAAACATACCAACATGTAGAAACAATTTTAAGTAGAGCAAAAACTGTAAGTTAGAGACAGAGACAGATTGATCCCAGGCAGGATGTAATCAGTGTATAAAACGTTAGAGGCATAAAGACATACTAACCATAGCAAAATAATTTGGAGATAATAAGAAAGAAAAATAAAGATGTGTAAATTCCAAGTAATTACTTCCAAATTTATATCCCAGACCCTCTCTTCAGCTTCAAACTCATTTACCCATTTATCCACAACTGCCTAATGGACATTCCTCACTGGAGATTCTATTGGCTCCCCAAACTCAGCATTGCTCAAACCTGCTTTTCCTCCCATATTACCCATCTCATTTGTTGGCACTATGCTGTTAGCCAGGTAAACTAAAATGCAAGGCCATCTTGAACTTCCACCTCTCCCCTCCCACCTTTGTCTCCAACCCCCTACCTGTTGACTCTGCCTCTGGCATCTGCCCACAGCCCTGCCACTGCTACTGCTTTACATCATACATTCCTCTCCCTCCTAACAGGTCCCATTCCTGCCTCCAGTCCACGTCTCACCTAATCAGTGATTTATCAAGAACATTAACATGATCCGTTGACTTGCTTAAAAAACACTCAGTGGCTCCCCACTGCCTGGCCAGGAATAGCTAGCACAGCTTTCAACACTTTTCATGATCTGACATTCAGGATGCCTGCTCTTCAGAAAAGAACAAATAAGAAATTTCAAGGAGAGCCTTCTGAAAACCAGACTGTAAAACCTATGTTCAATTAGTGACATGTTAATTACCGGTGATAGGGTGGAGGGGAATTGATAGCCCAGCCCTTGCCTCCTGGTCCTCTTTTGCCCACTCACTGATAGGCCCTAGCTCCTCTTCTGTTTGTTCTCTAAACACTGTGGTTTCCCACAGTGAAGTTCCACGTGCTCTTCTCTTCTAGTCTAGTCAGTAGTCTCCCTAGACAATCCTTATTTACAGCATCTCTTCATTCTATTGCTAAAAGTATAACAGCAAAATGTCAATTGTGTTACTGAATGGAAGGTGATCTGGAATACAGAATTATTGAGTTTTGGGGTTTCTTATCAGTAGGCAATATGAGCTATCCAACATAGAAATATAATAATGTACAATTGGATGCTATAAATTAAAATAGGATTTCACCCACAAATTTCTATGTAAATATAATTTCACTACTTAATTAGGACAATGGAAAAGTACAGATTTCTCTTTTTTCCACAAAGTTTCCGTCTGTTCCACACAAACAAAAGAACTTATTCAGAAATTGATGAACTAGATATTTTTTCCCTAAAGAATTAAAGCAAAACAGAAAAAAAAAACCCTCATATTTAAAAAAAGGTGCCCATAGAAATAATCTAAATATCCTGTAATAGGAAAATGGTTAAGTACATTGTATTAAAGTCACTTGATAGAAAGTTACCTAGTTGTTAAACTATATGGACACTAGGAAAAAATACAGAAGACAGCAGGGTTGAGTTTCCATCTGCTAGGAAAAGGCCTTCTGTGAGGCTCACGCAGTAACAGTGACTGCCTTGGTAAAATGACCATGGTCCAGAGTCCAGCCCTCTCTTTTTCGTGTGGGGAACCTGGGTTTGTCAGCACTCCAAAAATAGATTTCAGGTCTGGAACACAAGTTCACATTAAACAAGTTAACGAGACAAACAAAAAAACCAGAACACAATTTTTTTTAATTTAAAATGAGGCATTAATTGCCAAAGAAACAACATGTGCAGCCTATTCTCACCTTGTAGGCATTTTTATACCTGGGAAGCCAAATCATAAGCAAAGGGCTGCTCAGTGGGCACTGAATCAGAACAGAAGGAGTTAGATGAATTTACTTGCCAATGGGACAAGACTACGCCAAGCCCGGTAGTTACAATCCTGTGTTTATCTCTTGATTAGAGACTGTACCTGACAATCTTACACAAATAACAAGACATATCAGCCGAGGTTCTCATTCCCCCAGGAAACCATTCGGTAGGAACTACCAATGATTGCCCTGACGTTTTCTTTTCCTAAGCTTCTAAGGCTGACCTACACCTCTTCTCTATCACATTCTTTCTTTAGATATGTTACTAAGCTTAATCAACTTCCTCCTGGTCTGCGATTCATCCTTAAAATGACTGGTATTTCTGCTCTAATAAACTGCTTATTGGTTTTAAATCAACAAAGGACACGTAACAACATATTAATTTCTTACATCAGGCGAAAATGCAGGATAAAAACTGTATGCTCTTTACGATTACAACGCTATACTAAGAGTACGGATTCTGGGGTCTAGGTGAAATCTTGGCTTTGCCATTTCCTAGATGTGCCACATTAGGCAAGTCACTTCACTTCTCCGGGTCTCAGTTTCCTCAAACTGAAAAATGGGGAGAATAACCAGTACCTTCCCCATAAAGTTGTTGTAATGAGTTGATAAACATGTCAAGTCTAAAACAGGGTCTGACACAAAGTAAGCTCCCAATAAACATCAGCTACTGCCTATGTATGTATATACATCAGAGAAGATAACTGGAAGGTAACACTCCAAAACTCTACTGGTGGTTATACGAGGTTGGTATAATATCAGGAGTTTTTCTTTTCCATACTTCCAGATGTGATTAATATAATTTTAATAATTAAAAATGAGCAGAAATTCTATCTCTGTTCCCTCAATAAGAATGTAATGTGCACAGCATTATTAGGGATTAAGTAAAGTAGTAGGAACACTGTCCTTTCATCATAAGACTGCTAATATAAAGAAAAGGGTTGAATATAAGACATACATAGACAAAACCGTAAGAAAACAAAGGAAGCGCCTGATGACCTGAATGCTAACAGGGAATGAATAAGAAGGAAGGCTTCTTAAAGAGTAAACGAGCGGAAAGGAGGGACAGAACTAAGGCAGCTAGAGCAAAGGCCCAGAACAGGCACGCACAGGACACTGGGCAATGGTAAGGAGACCAACGCGGATGCGAGAAAGGGACCAATCCCGCTGGAGCTCAGAGAGGCAGATGGTAAAGAAAGAGTCCTCAAAGGCTTAAAGCGGGAGGAAGAAAAAGCCTACAGCTTTATAAAATAAACTACCACTATAGCATGATGATCTTACCTGTGAGTAAAATTATATCTCCAAGAAACACTGTAAATGCCCAAAATGCTGTAGTCCTCCACAGGAAAACTTTCTTCTTAATTTCTGATTGGTCAATTACCACAATTGTTCCTAAAGGCACTTTAGAGCCAGAATTTGGTCCCGATTTTATATTTATTTCTTTCACATGACATGGGGATAACACCATGACTAAACAGTTATACTTCTGACTTTTAGATTCACAATTTTTTATTAATGATGTTTTTTTAATACGCTTAAATTTAGACACATTCCTCTGGCCCATTGCTACAGTAGGATCTCTTGCATTAGAAACCAATTTAATTTTCTTAGATACTTGGAGGACTTTAGACCGAGCTTTAGAATGGCCCAATTTATCTTTAGACGTCCAGCTTCTCTTAGCAGAACTTTTGTGGAAGGTATTTCGTTGGGAACACAGTATTCCCAAGCTACATGACTCGATACATATCTCATGTGGTAGCATCTTATCTTCAAAACTGAACAGTTCTTGAGATCCTGTATTTTCTTCAAGACTTTTATCGGAGTTTATATGAATGTGGCTACTTTTTGCTTCAGGACAAACAGGACTAAAAAGCTCAAGGGAATATGCTTGGTTTTGTCCACCTTCATATCCTTCTGCAAAATCATCATTAGGCTGAATCAAATTATCTTCAGTTATTCTTATTTTCCCATGACGTGCCTTTGGTTCAATCTCCATGTTTACAGTTCCTTTACTGATAGAATTCTGCCCTTTATACTTCCTTTGAGCTAAAAAAGCAACCTGGCTGGAGGTCATTACACTGAGAAATTCAGTGTCAGTAGATATTTTAAGGTTTGAGTCCTCCCTAACTGTTCCTTCAGATCTTGGCTTATCTGCTGTGTTAGAGGAAAAGAATCCCAGAGGCTGGTTTTGTATTTCATGATGTTCTGTTGGTGCACACTTTGTTTCAGTAGCTCCTGGTCCTATATTAATCTGCTCAGTACTAGAGACCAAATCCAATATAGCTGCACACTTACGATCTAACTGAAGGCAATTTTTTTGAAAGTTTTGGCCACATATATTTGACTGATCTTTATGCTGTTCCTCTGTGATTTTCTTATTTTCACTGAAAACCTTTTGAAACTTTTCTTCTTCAGTTAAATGCTGAACTCTACCCTTAAATCCACATATTTGCACATCAGAGGTAGTTATATTACTCATCCCTAAGGGGTGAATCTTCCGGGATTTTATAGTCTCTGTTTCAGAAATACAATGTGTGAAGTCATCTTTCACATGAATAGAGCTAGTCACAGAGTTTGCTAAAAAATGACCATTAAGAAGATATGGAGGGCCAACAGCTTCTAGGACTTGACAGTCTTCTAGATTTTTGTGCTTGCACTTCTCATCCTCCAGATGTAAAGAATGTTGATTGTAAAAAAGCTGAATTTTTTTCCAAGAGTCAACAGTGGACATTAAAGAAGTTGGTTCCTGTGATACTGTCATTTTCAATGGACCAACTGGAGCACCCCAAAAAATGTGGACTTGAGATCCTCCACTCATGGTTTCTGAAAAAAATGAAAAATTTAAAACGAGAATTTTGTCAGTAGATATTTATATATTGATAACTTAATAATATATCAAAAGCAAATGTAATATAAACTATGAATCAAAAACATAATTGAGAGGTGATTTATTTTGGTACTCCATTTAATTATAAAATTCATAAATATATAAGACATCATAAGGAGAAATAAAAATATCCACAAAAAATCCTCACAAAAAGACACTCTTTAAGGAAAATAAAACTAAGTATACTAACATCAAATGAATAAATAAATTCTTAGTAGATTCCTTTCTTGTGTTGTATAAACTTGCACCATTTAAATAACAAGTTAGGAAAAAGGTAATTGTATTATAGTCACCTTTACATTTCTTGTTTTCTTTACTACACCAATTATTTCAGTAAGTTTAGGGCTCCCTTCCTTCAACTGTGAAGTCAATTCCCAAGACCAAAATAGAAGGCTCCAACCAGAAGGGAGAGAAAATAAAAAAACTGAGGCTGTCTTCAAAGTGTACAAGTCACTGTATTATCTATCGTCACTCCAAACTGTTAGCACAATCAATAATTGCTTCTATATTTTTTAATCTTCTCTAAAATACAAATAGAAGATTAAGAATAGCCATTTGTGGGGCCGGCCCGGTGGTGCAAGCGGTTAAGTGTGCACGCTCTGCTGCGGCGGCCCGGGGTTCGCCGGTTCGGATCCTGGACGCGCACTGATGCACCACTTGGCAAGCCATGCTGTGGCAGTGTCCCATATAAAGTGGAGGAAGATGGGCATGGATGTTAGACCCGGGCCAGTCTTCCTCAGCAAAAAAAGAGGAGGATTGGCAGATGTTAGCACAGGGCTGATCTTCCTCACAAATAAAGAAAAAAGAATAGTCATTTGTAATATATGGATAAAAGAAACTCATTATAAACTTTTTTTCATTAACTGTGGCACCTGATATAAGTAAGCATCATATTTACTGAGATAAAAATAAAGAATTAGGGGCCGGCCCCGTGGCATAGTGGTTAAGTGCGCACGCTCTGCTGCTGGCGGCCCGGGTTTGGATCCCGGGTGCACACCGACGCAGACCTTATCAGGCCGTGCTGTGGCAGTGTCCCACACAAAGTGGAGGAAGATCAGCATGGATGTTAGCTCAGGGCCAGTCTTCCTCAGCAAAAAGAGGAGGATTGGCATAGACGTTAGCTCAGGGCTGATCTTCCTCACAAAAAAATAAAGAAAGAAAGAAAGAATCGTACCACTACATACTTGATAATAACTGACTTTCAAAAAGCATTTATTCTAACACACGGACAGAGAGAACTGTTCGGTGGTTACCAGGGGAAGGTGGGGGGTAGTGGGCACAAGCAGTGCAGGGGTGCCTTTATATCATGACTGACAAGAACGTACAACTAAAATATCACAATGTTATTAACTATTATGACATCAATTTTAAAAAAAGCATTTATTACATAGTTCTATTCCTAGAGTTTGCTGAAAACTTTTTTACAGTGCTACAGGGACAAAAAGACAGATATGGTTGTTGGCCTAACAGAACTGTCAGCCTGGTTTTAAAAAATAAAAAAGAGAGAAAAACAGTAAACAGTATGTAAAATAGTAGTTTCAAAATACGTAATGTAATAAATACTACAAGCTATAAACAGGAAACAATAATCTCCTGGGGAAGAATGCTACCATAGAAGTCGAACATTGTGGCAAAGAGCATTTAAACAAAAGAAACAGCATCTGTAAAAGGCAGAGTTATGAAAGACCATGGTATGATTAAAGACTTTTGATTACAGTACAGAGTCCTTTGTAAAAAGGTAAGAAGGTTTCAAATCGTGAAAAGTCCATATGGAAATATTGGAAGTGTGGCAGTACATAGGAAAGGAGGAACAAGCCAAGAAATAACAGCTATAATCCCCAGTGATTCTTATCATTCCTTATCATTCTTATCATTTATTTGCTCATTGTCACCTCTTCCAAACAGAATAACCTATCTAATTTCAATTCTTGCGATTTCAAGAGCAATGGGGGTGATTCTTCCAATACCCTGGCCTCTTGGTTCCTTGACCTCCTCTCCTCCACTGATTTTATTCTCCACCTTACATCAGTTATCCATTCTCATAATCATATACCCTACCATTAGCAATAACCGCATACCCTTCCCTAATTTCAATTTTAAGTTTCAACTCTCTGACTACTTTCTCCTATCTTCCAACTTACTCCCTCTGGATGCACAACTCTAACAATTCTCTGACCACATGGGACCTACCATGAACACACTGATTGCATCCGATTTTTACAGCCTCACTCTTCACTTCCGTCCTTAACCAGCTTAGACTCCATGGTCCATTATTATAATCACTCCCTCTCATATCTCTCTAATTCTACTGCTCTCCTCTCCAAGGTATTTGCCCAGCTAAACTCAAACACTGGTTGAATCATCATCTACTCTGCACTTGTAGCCCAATGGCTGGAAGTAACTAGGCAAAAAAAAAAAAACACACAATCATCTGAAAACTAGTCTCATTTTAAGTTCATTACCACTAACCTCAAGGTGGTACCTAGCAGTCCTATCTTTCCCTATCTATTCACTCTCCAAGAGAACACTTTTATACTTTTTCACTCTTTACATCTCCACCGTCTCCTCATCTATCCTCATGTGCAGCTGGTGACTATGCTACTATTTCCATTTACAAGCTCTCAACAACATATCCACCCACCCACCTTGATCATACCCATATACTTTGCCTACCTTTCCGTTACTATGGATGAACTGTCCACGCTTCTATGAAAGGCCATCTCCTTCTCACTTAGACATTAGATCTTATTCCCTCTTTCCTACTTGGCTCCAACAATTCTCCCCTTCTCTCGTACATTATTGATTTTTCTCTCCGTTCTGGAGCATCTCCGTCAACATATAAACAAGCTGTTATTTTTTCTCATGCTGTTATTCCTCACCTCCCTTTCCCCTACACCTATTGCACCATTTTTCTGCTCCCCTCTACAGCAAAATTCCTTGAAAGAATTATCTATACTCTCTTTGCCCCTCTTCTCACTTAAACCCACTCAAGTCAAGCTTTGGTCAAAACCACTCCACTGAGACAGCATACGTCAAGGTCTCTAATGACCTCCACATTGCCCTCAGTCAACCCTCCATTTTCAGCCTATAAGCAGCATTTGCCACTGTTGATCACTCCTTCCTTCTTGAAACACTCTTCTATTTGGCTTCAGGGATACCACACCCTCTTGATTCCCATTCTACCTCATACTACCTCACCAGTTGCTCTTTCTCAGTCTCCTCTGCTAGCTCCTCCTCATCTCAACGTCTTGCTCAAGGTCCCAGTACTTGGATCTCTCTCTGTACTCACTCCCAAGATGATTTCATTCAGTCTCAGGGCTCTAAATACCTTCTATCCACTCATGACTACCACGTGTATCTCTCCATCACAACCTGTCTTCTCAACCCTCGAATCCTTATCCAACTTTCTACTTATACCTCCTCACCACAAAACGTCTAATAGGCATCTTTGCAGAAATGAGTTAACATAGCAGGCCTGAGACTACTGTCTTTACAAAGCCCTGGTTGTAAGGTGGGCCCATGGCTAGAATCTGCGAATTTAGATTTCATGAGGGTTCCCACCATTCCTTGATAAGAATGGCTGACTGTACCTAAACTGTCTATGTAAACAATGTTTCGATAAACACTTGCTTTCCTTCTGAGAGACTGGAACTTTGGTATGTGCTAGGCAGAGGGAGGCTACGTGACCAGGACTCCTCAGAGGAATGGCTAATTCCAGGTCTGGAGCAGGAAACGTATATGATGAACCTGAAACATCTCATTATACCAGAAAGCAAGAAAACTATCAAAGACTACGAGGCTTGTATCAAAAGAACTCAGGAACCAACTTAAAGAGGCTCCCACTGGCCACAATTGGGCAATTGCAGCATCAATAAGGATGATTATTGTAATGGACTGGAACACATCAAATATGTTTAAATCCATAAGTTCACAAAGATAATTAAAACAAACTCACTCAATGATCACCTTTGGAGGCTACAGAATGACTAAATAATTGTTTTATAAGTTGGTGAATGAAAGGAAAGAAAATTTATCCTGCCTGCCTTTATTTACAGTATCTCAAGATGACCAACTATTTGATGAGAGGAAATCTCTCTTTATAGAAGTATTCTGCTAATAAACAATAACAACAAAAGGAATGATAGAATTTTTCAGCTCCTAATGAATTAGTGGATTTCCTAGGCAATGATCATTAATAGCTGCTAACATCACAAGGTAGACATAAGGGAGAATGGAGGGAATCTGTAGATTGAGACCAATTAACAATGTATGGACCTTATTTAGATCCTGATTTGAAGACATAAATATAGAAATATTATAAGACAATTGGAGAAACTGAAACTTAACTGATATTTTGTAACATAAAGGGATTACTGCTATTTTTTAGTGGGATAATGTTACTGAGGCTCTGTATGAAAGAGCTATGTGCTGAAGATGCATAATGAGCGCTTGCAGATAAAATGGTGTGACATCTCAGATTTCTTTAGAACACTGGGAGGGGAGAAGGAGTGAGGGTGTAGAGGAAACAAGATGGGCCACGTGTTGATAATTGTCGAGGCAGTGTGATGCAACACAGAGAGGTTCACTCCACTCATCTCTCTACTTTTGCACGTTTTAAGTATCCTACAGCACAAGTCTTCTTTTTTGTGTTGTTTTCAAGAAATACTATTTCATACCCACAGGACTGGGAAAAGATTTAAGCAGTGTAATAATACCTAAGATTGGGGAACTCTTACACTGCTGGTAGAACAGTAAATCGGCATACCACTTTGAAGATTTACTTGGTAAAGCTGAGGACGCCAATATCACACAACCAAATAATTCCACTTCCAAGTTTCTGCCCTGGAGAACTCTCGTGCATATATACACAAGAAAAGGAATGATCATGGGAAACTTTATAAGCAAAAAAATTAGAACCTAAAAGTCCATGAAGAGG